CTCACAGGGTTGTTGTGTGGATATACATGGAGAGGAAGCTGACGTAAGCCACCTTCATTTTTTTGTAGGAAAAAGCTGGAATCTAAACTTGAACAGTCTACATATGAGTGAAGACAAGCCAGGATTTCTAGCATCTTAATTTACACCTTAAAAATTGGTACTCTTAAAATTATGAGTCCAGGGGGTTGGGTTTATTTATTAAATGCATGCATGGTTTCCCACCACAAAAAAGCAGTCCTGTTGTGGCTTGAAGTACACACAAATACAAAAAGCGGTGTTTAATAGAGCAGAAAGACCCTAACCAAAATCAGCACAAATGTTCCTGTACTATATTCATCCACAATCCAGAAAACCCTCTCCTGCCTCTTGCAGCCTAGATCAAACACTGCGAAGTCTTCCACAATAGCTTGACAAGGGTTGCGACGATGCCTTTCCTCTGGCCATCCCACATTATGGAACATGCACCAGGCAAAGAGATACGTATTTTCCCAGCGATTTGGACATTCATTCTCTGTGGGCTGCTAACCTAGAGATCTGCCAGGAGATAGGAATTTCCTTCTGCTCATGCCTGAGTCTATAAAACCGTTAAAGGTGCGATCTTATGCCAGCTGAGACAGAAAATAGTCTGCTAGCTCAGCCGACTGGGGTATGTTGGGAGCTGTGGGCCTCCTGTCCGTCTGACACACACCTTTAAGGATTGCGCCTTGCGCGTTTAAGGTGCAGGCATGGATGGAAAGGGGCCTTTTGTTGACGTCTTGTCCAAGCGCCTCCAAAACCTGGCCTTGTTTAGAAACCTTTGCAAAGGTTCTCATCTTGCCGGCACATGTGTCCCCTTTTTTGGACTCCAGCTCCCACCCTCCCTCATCAGTGGCCATGCTAGGGGAGATGGGAATCGAAGTCCAACTTCATCTGGATGGTCCCATATTCCCGAGCCAAGCTGTTAGAAAATAAAGATTATGAACTTTCCATGGATCGATGCCACATATGGACTTAAGGAATACAGTCCCCACTCTGGTACCGGCCGGATTTGTAGCACCTCCGCTCCCATGAGCCCCAGCCAAGCATGGCCTTGCTCAGGAATGCTGGGAGCTGAAGTCCAAAACTTCTGGCGGGCACCAAGTCAGGGAAAGCTGCTGTTGCCTGGGAAGGTTTTAAGGCTGAATGTCCAGCACCATTCAGTAGATGGCAGCATTGAGTTGAACATTGTCCAGAGCCCCTAAGGAAGACTCACATCTGCACAGGATGAAAATCTTAATGTTGCAACAAGAAGAAAAATTCGCAACAGTGTGTGATAGGATTAGACCTTGGTTGGGGCAAGGTTGATCGATTCATATCCTGCCTTTTTCCTACAACGGGCTCAAGGCAGCTGACATCGTCTGTCCTCCTCCATCTTATCCCCACAACAACAACCCTGTGAGGTAGGCTGGGCTGAGAGGCTGTGACTGGCCCAGAGTCACCCCGTTGGCTCCATGGCCGAGCGGGGACTCGAACCCGGATCGCCTGAGTCCCAGACTCTTCACCACGACGCCACACTGGCTCTCAGGTGGCAAGTAAGCGCACCCTTGTTTTCATTCTTATTCTTGAACATGGTACCTTCCCAATGGTCTTGACCGCATTTCCCATCAGCCCCAGGCAGCAGGGCTGATTCAGGGATGATGGGAGTTGTAGTCCAGAACATGCTGGTGAAGGTGGCTCCACAGTCACAAGGATCTCATCCACAGAAGGCAGGTCCAGTCACGAAATATGGGACATGTGGAAATGTAGCATCTTGAATTGTTTTTTCCTAGCCTTTGTTAGGCTGGAAACTTTGCAGATGAAATTCAGGACCCTTAATGAAAGTCCTTGTTTAAAGCTGTCTGCAGTTCCCCGTTCAACTAACACAAGTAAAATGTTGAAAACTGTAATCACACACACGCGCACACATGCACAAACACACAACTGCACTGCACTGCTAGCTAGCTAGCCATAGGGTTTTGCCCTGGAACGGCCCACATTCACTGGGAATTTCAGCCCTGCTTTGCTCTAAGTTTCAACACTTGGTGTGGAAGGGAAGGATAGGCAAGCTGCCACAACTGTGATCTTTCAGCACAATTCTGTGCACGTTTGCTTAGAAGCTATTTTTCTGTATGCAGGGAGGTACGGTTTTTACACTCGGAAGCACTGAAAAATAGCAACCACACCCCACCTGCCGTCTGAAATGGTATCGCCCATTCCATGATGTCATTCTTATTTTATGCTATGAGGTGACAAAGATCTGAGCCCTTAGAATGGATTGTACCAGTTCAAACCATTTCCAACACTTTCCCCTGTGTAAGAAGATAAAACAAAATTCCCTTCGGGTAGAAAACTTGAAGATCAGGCTGGGAAAAGATATGCCAAGATAAATGTGCTATTTATTTGCAAGAAGTTGTTTTAAACACACATGTACACACAAACAAAAAGCCTGGGTGGGTATTCAAAACTGTCACACACACCTGCTTACAATATGAAGTGGTACAGTCACCCTCAGGTGGGAACAGTCATCTCAGGACTCCACCACCACCCATCTTTCCATGTGAAAACAAGATGGGGGAGTTCTAAAAATCTCAGCTCTGTGTGCTGCCACGCAGGCTGCCTGGAGCAATTTTACGGGCCATATGCTTTCATTCACACATTCAAGATGTCCTGAAGGAAACGATTCTGTTGCAGTTCTTTGAGCACAGATGGTTGGAAGTGTTGGGAGAGAGGCAGAAATAAAGAAACTCTTGCTGGGGAGGAAAGTTCCTGAACAGATTGTGTCGCAGGAGTGCAGTGAATAACTCTGAAAGTTTACCAAGGAGAAGACAGTACCGTATTTTTCGCTCTATAAGACGCACTTTTCCCTCCCTCAAAAGTAAGGGGAAATGTCTGTGCGTCTTATAGAGTGAATGTGCGTGTGCCCGACGCCCGGGATGCTGCCGGCCTGCCAGCACCATGTGGCACCACCTGGCCGGCACGCGCTCAGCACGCCCTGCTCTGCCCGCCTCCTCCGGCGCAGGTGAGAGCTGTTAATCACAGGTCGGTGTGTGTTTTCAAATGGCAACCCGTCTTTTAATGAAGCCCATGGGGAAGTGATGGGGAATGTGCCTGTGATTATCAGGAAGCTTTCCACAGATCAGTTATCTGTTAGTTGATCAGACACATTTTTTTAGGATCAGTGGATATTTGAACAGCATTACCTTCGTGTATGAAGTTTATTCTTCAAAGGCTACTTAGTCCGCTGTGTGTTTGATTTACTGTACAATAGCTCATTTTCTGTCAGAAGTTTTTTTCTATTATTTACTAGTAGGGCAGCGTGGACATTACTGGCTTTTTTAGATTTGTTATTGAATTGTCTGCAGCAGCTCTTGTATAACTGGTGTAGATTGTGGATTCCTTCAATAATTCCACTACTAAGCAAGTGATGTCAGTGATTGTGAGCAACAGAGCTTCATAAATTCTGACTCTAGTGATGATGAGTTCTATGGGTTCAATGAAAACTAGAAGAGTATTCGGACTTTAAAGTCTCTCTTTTGTTAATGACAGTGATGATGGTTCTTAATGCCACTGTTGACTGCTGTTCACTTTACAAGGTTGAAATATGGTATTACTGTTATAGTTAATTAAATAGTTTAGTAAACCATTTGATTCAGAATATTTTTTTTCTTGTTTTCCTCCTCTAAAAACTAGGTGTGTCTTATAGTCAGGTGCATCTTATAGAGTGAAAAATATGGTAATTAGAAGAAAGCGTGTCTCTTCTAAATGGAATCTGGGTTAAACAAGTTGGTTATCACTGCATTTGTTTATTTGATGGCAACAGAAAGGAATCTTGCAGGATTCTAGGATGAGTTCAAAGCCAGCCTCCACTGTAATCTTGCTGGGTTTGGATGACATGGAAGCTGGGTGGCTCATTTGGAAAATTATGTGGGTTTCTTCTCCCACACCTTCTCTGCGAGTCAGTGGAGTCTCTGCTGCCATTCCTTCACATTCGGAAAATTATTCATTCAAGGGGTTTATAAGCTGCTATTTCTCCATCTTCAGAGCCAAGTCCTCACAAAGCAGTGTACTCAAAGGAACTAGATATTTTAGGCACACGGGACCGGTTGTACAGCTATTATGGGAAGTCGCTCTAAGGCACTGGACTTACAGGGTCCGGTCCTGTGCATCTTTAGATAGAAGAAAATTCCTACAACTTGCAGCATTCCCTGGACAGCTATGTTATTATATGGTTTGTTGCTGAGTAAAAATGCATAAGACGGCGCTTGGACACTTAGCAAGTCATGGAAAGATGCATTTCAATGCCCCCTGAACAGCCTGTGATGATGGGGCCAAGTGCCGCCCCGAGGCTTCGGCGAATGGGGCGGTATAAAAATGTTTCAATAAATAAATAAATAAATAAAGTAAGTGCAAAGTCTGCGAGAAGGGGCCACCATGAAAAGGTACTGTCACTCATAAATGATCTTGCTGGGGGTCAGTCTAAGTGATCTTACTGGGGATCCTGGGTAACAACCACCACACAATGCAGTGAAATCATGAGGGACACCCGTCTGCGGGGGACATGCGAGCTCTCAACTTGCCTGCCTTAGGCAGGGCAGTACCCTCGGTCATCTGAATCAGTAAAAGTGTGTTTTCTAACCGCCGCTTGTTTGTATTCCAGGGTGGCCTTTGGCAGGCGTGCAGGATCCAACCAGTGGCCCAGACCAGGGACCCCCGATCCGTGTTGCGGCTAGCATGGCCCACGCCCGCGAGTCAAAGCGGCTGTCATCCCAAACACCGAAGGGCAGCAAACGGAGCGGACTCGGGTCAGAATCCAGACCGCGGTGCCGACGAACAGAGCCAAGCCGCTCGGCTCTTCCGCCACAAGAGAAAACACGCTTCCTCTCTGGCGCGCAGGCGCGCTGCGAAAGCCCTCGCTCCGCCCCTTTCGAACAGCTGCGAGAAACGGAGACATGCCTGGCCAATCAGCGCAGCAAGCCTAGCAGAACTCGACGCCGGCCCAGCCAATGGGGGAGGCGGGATTGCGACGCCGGAGGCTTTGAGGACGTGGCTTAGACCTGTTTTCCCCCCTTCCCTTTGATCGCAAGTTTTTTTCCTTTCTTTTGGGGAGGGGGCGGTGCTGCAAGTTGGTCGGAGTTTCGTACCGGAAGAGAAGGAAGACGAGGAGGGCCGCGTCTGCGAGCGGCGGCGGAGCGTCATGGCGTATCACCCTGGTTATGGGGGGCCAGGTAGGAAATCCGGGAGGGAGAGTCGCAGGTCGGGCAAGAGAGGCCCGGCCGCTGGAGGCTGGTCTGTGCGGCCACCTGTGCTCTACCCGCCCCCATCGCCGCCTCCCGAAGCGACCTCATGTTCTTGATCGCAGAGAGGGAGGGAGGGACGGTGTCCGGTCAGTCCGCGTAACGTGTGAACGCGTCTGGAGAGCTCGGGAGCTGAGCACGAGGCCTGGCGCCCGCACGCCCCTTGAGCCCCTCCACCGGAACGTAGGGCCAGCCCTGCTGGATCAGGCGCAACGCGGCCTGTGTGGGGCACGGGGCTGCGCACGACCGCGCGGGAAAGAAACCCTGCGGCTCGCAGCCTTTCCCAGCCGGCCAGGGCCGCCGAGGCGTGGCAGGCCGGGGCGCGCGGCGAGCTGCTGGACTTTCTCCTGCCAACGCACGCAGGGAGCGACGCCCCGCGGCGTGGGGGAACTTCGATTCCTAACCTCGAGCATCCCCGGCCTGGCATCTCCGTGTCGTGTGGACGTACCCTGCGGCCGCGACTCTCGCTGGCTGAATACTGCCTCCAGGGACAGGGGGGGATGGAAACTTTTCGGTGGCTCTTAGCCAGATCCCTGGTCCCTCCCTCTTCTGCCGTCCCTGCAGCTTTGGAGTTAGCCCGGCTGATTAAAAATAAAATGCTTTGCTTTGCTGGCCCCTCCAACCATGTTTTGACATCACTTCTTGCAGACTTCACAGAGGGAGAGAAGAAGGGGGTGGGAGAAAAGGACCGGTCGTGTGCTCCAAGCCGATCGCGCTCCTTTCAGCTTCTACCCAGGTACCCCACTTAAATCCAGTCATTTGTCTCCTGCAGGCTCCAAACACCGGGCGAGGATCCCTCCCGTCCCCCAAAACACCAACGCTCCGCAGCTGTTCGATGACACCAGCTCGGGTTACGGTCCACAGCAGGCGGGTTACGCCGGCGAAGGGATCAACATGGGCTTCAACCAGATCTTCACAGAGCCCGTGGCCAACGTGGCGATGGCCTACGGCACCACCATCGCCTCTCAGGGCAAGGATATTGTCCACAAGGAGGTAAAGAAGGCTTGCGGGGCTGGCTGAGCACTGGTTCTCTCTCTCCTTGCTGGCATTATTATTAATCATCATGTGGCATTTATATCTTGCCTTTTATACCTCGTGTGAGGAGCCCAAGGCAGCCTTCGTGGCACAGGGTCCCCAGTGAGCTTCGTGGCCAACTGGGGGCTTCAGCCCGCATCTCCCAAGTCCCTACTCCAACAGCCTAGCCATCACACGGGTCTAGGACCCGTGGCTGCACCACGGAGCTGGCTATTCTCCTAACTCCTCGTTGGTCCGTGCACCTGCTTAGCCGTGAAACTAACACCCGCTTTGTGGTGATTTTTCGTAGAGGAGATAATCTCTCCCTTTCAATGCAGCACAGCAACAAACTTTGTTGGGTTTGGTTTGACTAAATCCATATATCGCTTCTTAACGGCCATTTTACTCGACGATCAGGAACGGTAACATTTTACAGGCCTTAATAGCACAGCTTGGTCCATCGCAGGATACATTTTAAAATCCGTTATTGAAAAACAAGATCGTCAAAGCAAGACTGTGTGCGCCTGCTTTCGGTTCTGAGGAGGCAAACCCCGGGGCTAAAATCAGTCTTCTGGGGGTGAGCATTCTACGAGATGGGGGCAGCCACCAATCGGACCTTCATTTTGTCCACGTGAATTAAATTATAATGAGCGAGGAAGGCTTGGCACCTTTCTAACATCCGAGGAGGCCCTTCTCTGCATCACAGGAAACACATGCACACCAAATTAGACCCGTGGCCCGTGGCCCAGACCGTGGGAGATGGCACATGGAACCTTTTGGGTGCAGAGCTTTTACTCTGCTCCTGAGCTACGTCCGCACTCATGATGGAGCGTGACTTGGTTGGGACCAAGAGACACACAGCTGCACCCAGATGAGAGAAACTGTATTTTCTGTGGCCCAGTCAGCCCCATCTTAGGGTGTCTTTGCTTAGCTGGCTCAGACTTTAAACAATTCGACTAGATTTTTGCTTTACTTGGTGACCAATTCCACTTACCCGCTGAGCTGGATTGTTCTCTCTTGCATTGATTGATTTTACCTCATTTTGCCACGGCATTAGTCTTAAATAGGGTGAGCCAATCCAAGTCATGCATGCATAATTAAGAAAACATATTAGTTCCATATGGGAGAAGATGCTTAAGGAAATGTCCTTGGAATGCTCGTGCCTTCTGGCCACTGACTCTTTCCTTTCCTCCCGTCAGATTCACACATCTATGAACAAGCTGAAATATTTCTTCGCCGTGGATACCACATACGTGATGAAGAAACTCGCTTTGCTGGTGTTTCCTTATGTCCACCAGGTATAAGTAGTCTCTCTTTGTGTCCTGGGTTGTGGTTAAGGGTTTGGTTGGGGGCTTTTGGACAGGAGAGCAGTCTGGAGCATGCGCTGCTGAATTTGGCTTCACTGTGGGTGGCAAAAATCAAATCCGTCCATTATCAGAAAAAGTCTGTCTTTTTTGATCCTCTTCTGCAGAACTGGGAGGTCCGCTACCACAGAGATATACCCCTTACACCCCGACAGGATGTCAACGCGCCTGACCTCTATATTCCCAGTGAGTTTGAGGTGCTTTCTAAACGTAGCATGTTTTGAATATGTGCCCTTATTTCAAGCAAAGAGTCTAGTCCTCAAGAATGTGGTTTTTTTCTTCTTCTTTCTTTAAAAGCACTTTTCCATCCTTAGGTATGGCCTTCATTACTTATATTCTGCTTGCTGGGATGGCACTTGGTTTACAGAAAAGGTACGTGTGAGACACGCTTCGCTTTTGTATCTTGCAAACATTTATTGCGGAGTGAGTTTTCAGGTCAGGGCATACCTAGGCATTTCTGTGGGGGCTGCAAAATTTATCGGTGGGGAAAGACATGGAGGGGTGCATTCGGAACGGTGCGGAAAGATGCTGCAGCTTCTGCAGAACCCATAGAACAGAATTAAAAAGAAACACACCTAGAAAATGGTTTGCCAAGTCATACAAGTCCCTGCAGGACTGACATGGAGCCTTATTTCTGTGGGGGGGGGCATCGTTTTGGAGAATCCTGGTGGCAACAGTGTGGGGGAGCAGAGCCTCAAGGGGGTGGCCCCCCCTTGCCATTTCCTCTCTCCCGCTTTCTCCTTGTCCGCTGGTCTGAACTGGGTGTTTGCAGGGCCCCACGGGTGGCTGCCCCTGCTCTGGAAAGTTGTTTCCAAATACGTGATGCAACGGAGAGGCACAAATCCTGCCTGAGGCGGTTCTGTGCCTTCAGAACACACAGCCCACAGGTGCCCCTGTGGCGTGAATAAGCGGAAGTTGCCCGGGCCCAGACCGGATCCAGAAAGGAGGTGGAAAGGTTGCCAGCAGAGCTCCCCTCTAAATTAGCCTGCCTCGTGCCATCTTTCAGACATCTGTGTCCCCGACCACCATTGGCTGGGGCTGATGGGAGTTGAAACTCGACACATCTAGGGTGTCCCAGGTGACAGGGTACATGGTGCTTATGCTGAGGAAAACATTCATGTTTTGCTTGCCCGGTGTTACTTCCTGCGCCAGGAGCAGTTCATGATCCTGGCGTTCCACGCTCTTCCCCCGTTTTGGGTATTAACTCCTACTGAATTCAGTGGGACGAAGTCCTAAGGAAAGCACATTTAGGGTTGCGCTGCTGCACTGCAAGCGCTCCGGGGCCTGCGTTCGACGGTTTCGGCCGTGTGTCCGGTGCCGCACACTACGCGGTGTTGCCAGGTGCTGGTGGGTGTCCCCCCGCAACCCTTCCTTTGCCGTTTCTCTGGTCTGGCTCCCTCCCAGGTTCTCCCCGGAAGTCCTTGGCATGTGTGCCAGTACCGCCTTCGTGTGGGTGGTGATTGAGGTTCTCGCCCTCTTGCTGGGCCTGTACCTCGTGACCGTGCAGAGCGACCTGGGCACATTCGACTTGTTGGCCTACTGCGGATACAAATATGTAGGGTGAGTGGATGTCTCGGGCTTGCATGGCCTTTGGCAAGTGGGTGCTTTCCAGATGTGTGCAGACATTTACAGGCTCATAATTTAAAAGTCATGGCACAAAAGGAAAGTGGCTTGGGAGGGCAGAGGAAAAAATGTGCATTTACTCGTACATACAGCTTGCTTTGCAGTCCTTAGGAATGTGGGGTGGGGACAGCCCACTGACTGGGCCCGGTCCTGTCTGTTTTGCCTCACGCGCAGCTGTCCAAGGACCTGGGCAGCAAAAGCACTTTCTGGAATGCCAGGGATTAAACCGGGCGGCTTCTGCTTGTGGCACATGCACTGTTATGGAGCTGAGGCCCTTCCCTCTGCTGCCATGTATTCTGCAGGGCCACATCTCCCATCCCATTGCAATGCAGGATCTAGTGCTTACGTGCTGGCCTTTCCTCTTCCCCCCAAATCCCCTTTCCTTTTATGTCATGTCTGGAGCCGGGGGTCAGACTAGATGGCCCCGGAAGCCCCTTCTGACTCACTCTGTTTCTATGTCTGTCGAAGTGGTAAGAATGCAGCAAGGGAACACTGTAAGTGGCTCGTGGGGGCCTTTGCAGGAGAAGGATGGGATAAAAATAACTAACGGGAAATGCTTATATTTTACATTGGCCTGTGGAGGATGCTGGCTCTAGTTTGACACACCTGGAAAGTGCCAAGTTGGGGGATGCTGGCATAGATCTTGGGAGTGAGGGGGGGGATGGAGCGGGGGCCTTGGGAAGCATGCTGACGGGTGCCGTTTCCCTCTCCCAGGATGATCCTGGTCGTGGTGGGTGGCTTGATCTTCGGCAGCAATGGGTATTTTGTCACCCTGGCCTGGGCCTCCTGTGCTCTTATGTATTTCATGGTGAGTACCGCGGTCCAGAGAGGGCAGGTGACAGATGCCGGGACCCTCCCTCAGCCCCGCAGGGCAGGAGGTTGCAGGCAAGAGGAAGCGTATGGCCGCTGGCCCGGTGAAATTGGACAGTAGCTCCCATCACCCTGAAGATTTAGTTCCTTTTTGTACTGTACTTTAGTTCCTTTTTGTAACCTGCCTAACAACTCAAGTTCTCCAGATGGTGTCTGATGCATCGACAACATAAAATGCAGCCTTTTCAGACAAAAGCACCGATCAGTAACCAAGATAAAACCAGCAGCAGAGCATCAAAACGCCTCAATGTTTAAAACCAGCAGCAAAATGAAATATTAGGGGGGTGTGCCTCTTCCCACTTAGACAGAAGCCCCGCGACTCCCGGTGTTGCCTCAGCCAGCCATACAAGCATCAGATTAAATTATCCAGGGTGCAACTCTTTGCATGCATAGGATGTGGGGAGGTGTAGGACATTTTTCTGTCTGCCTAGGAACAGGATCGTACCCTACAGACCTTAAAAACAGTCCTTAATGAGCCCTGGAGGAGAACAAAGGAGCCACCGGGCGTTGGGGAGCCCATCACGGAGGCGCCAGGCAACCCTTGTCCACGCTGGCCAGGGCCGCTGAAGGGTGGGGGTCCCGCGGACAGTTACAAAGCTAGCTTTCTTTCCTGTACAAGTCTGGGGAATGAGGGCAGCCTTCTTTACTGAGCCCGTGACTGCAGTTTTCCTCTGCCCTCCTCAGGTTCGCTCCTTGCGGATGAAGATCCTCCCGTCCATGGTGCACGAGGGGCTGAGCCGGCCGAGCGGGCGGGCACAGATGTACATCACCCTGGCGGCGGCTGCCTTCCAGCCTCTCATCCTCTACTGGCTGACGGTGCAGCTGGTGCACTGAAACCGGCGGCCGGGGGAGCGGATGGCTCTGAAGCCTCGGGGAGCCCTCTTCCCGCTCTCGTTCTCCCACCCAGCCCAAGTCCGCTTCCCAATCCCGCTGGAGGACAGACAGGTGGGACGAGGCTGAGGGAAGAGGTCTCCGCGCGTCCCCTCGGCTCTCGTGCTGGAGCAGCGGTGGGCCCCAGCTCTGCCTCTTCCGTTTCCACAGCCAAGCGCCCACCGCTCCTTGCTCTGAGAGCGCACGCGGCCGGCAGAGGGAATCGGGTTTCCCTGGACACGCCTTCGCTCACAGGAGCATTTCTGCTATGCAAAGAATCCGCGCAAGACGACGCGTGTGTCTCCTGCCTTCTGGAGCAATGCGCCCCTTTCCTCCATTTTGTACCCTGGCTGCTGCTCTTTCGCGAGCGGTCGGTGGCCTGAGGCCCTCCCTGTGGTGCGGGCTACAAGTCCCATAACTGACTGTTGGCCATGGTGGCTGGGGCTTATGGGAGCTGTTGTCCCTCACGCCTGGAAGAGGCGAGGTGATCGACCGCTGATTTATGCGGGGTTCCTACTGGTCCCTTACCTGTAGGGTGTTGCCCCCACCTGAACACCAGCAGCTGAGACCTATAAAGACCCCCACTGAGGCCCCACTGACGGGTCTGGCCTCTGTCTGAAGCAACTTCACCCCATCAGAGAAAGTACATAAGAATTGTACAGCTTCTGACTTTCTTCCTCTCTCTCTCTTTCATGCTCACACAGCTCCATGTGTTTTTTTATCCTATCTACACTGAACTTTACAGTGTCTTGTGTGTGTGTTTTTTTAAAGGCTTTATCACAGCATCCAGGCTAGCAAAAGGGTGGGTGGATAGATGCAAAAGAAAACACACAACTTGACGCAACGTGCAAGACAGAATAATGTTGGGGCGAAGGAAGTGGGTTTTGTTCGTTTGTTTTTTACTTTTCCTGCCTGTTCTGGGGAGGTTTCGTTCTTGGACGCAGTGATAAGATGGTACCGCCACCCAAAAACAAACAAACAGACTTGTGCTTTGGAAGCTCTTGTGCGTGTTTTGTGTTTTTTAAAATGTGTCTGTATGAGTACCCAAGTCTTTTGGACCTCTGGCAAGGTACCCGTGCTTTTAGGAATTTCCCAGTGGAGCAGGCCACGCTCTTGGTGTGTGAGCCGTGCTGAGTAAGTCCTCTCCATCCCCCATTCTTCCTTTGCTGCCAAAAAACCTACCTTCCCGAAACAGATCAGAAACAGGTAGATCTTTTTAGTAAGACAACCATTCTGCGGGATTCACCTTTGCCAGCAGATGGCGGTAGGTGTCCCAAGGACCAGCTGGCCTCTGGCTATATTTGGGTGGATTTTCTTTTAAATGGTGTGTTGGAAACGGGGATTTATTGGCGTGAAAAAATATATTGTTCACTAGTCATCATTATAAAGAAATGTCAGAGAAGCAAGTCTGGCTCCTGAAGGGATGGGTGTCTCAACAGTCCCCCGTCTGTTAACACTTATTCCCTCGGTCGTCAACTTGTCTGAGGCGGAATGGAAACCCTGCACACTCCTTATGCTGTTCTGAAACATTATTAGATCTTTCAATAACTGCCAGCAAAGAAAAACGGAGGCAGAGGCGATGAGACAAAAGCCTTGACGGAATTCGCATAGCATCCCTCATGGGGGCAGCCGAACCTCACAGTGCGAGGGTAAGCCTTGCCCCCTTGGTGGTTTTTCAGAAGGAAAACCTTTCCCCCAGTCACCAATCGTTCGGTGGTGTTCTGGCTTTGGTGCTGTTCCTTCAAAGGCTGCAATGCCATTCTCGGAGCTTAATTACTGGCAGAAAGAGCTCCAGTGTCTGTGTTGGGGAACAGTTTGGCCTGAGCCTCCCTTGCCAATGGATTGTGGCCCCTGCAGTGGGATTTTGCCCTTGGGCTGAGGAGGGCCTCACACCCCTCTTACTCATCTGAGCTAGCCCTTTTCCTTCTGCAAAGTGCTGTATTTGTTCCAACGGAGCAAAGCTCAGGGAATCCAGGTTCCATTTGGATGCCAGGAAGCGCTTCCTGACAGTCAGGACCCCGAGGGTGTGGAATGGGCTTCCACGGGAGGTCTTTGAGGCCCCATAGGTGAGGGTGTTCAAAGACAGGCTGGACATGCACATGGTGGGCATGTCGTGAGCGGAGCCGGCTGGTGCTGGAGGTCAGACTAGATGGCCCCGGAGACCCCTTCTGACTTGCTCTGTTTCTATGTTTCTATATTCCAAATAATTTAGAAGATTCCAGATCAGTTTGAAGATTTCCCTGCACTGGCCCCAAGCACAACCTCCTTGAGCAGTCTTGCTTTAAAGTGCTGATTCATAAAAAGGAATTGGGGGGATGGTGGAAGTTGGGGGAGCGTTCCCTCTTGATTTTAGTGGCCCATGCTAGCAGAGACTCCTGCCCCTCCGCCACAGACCTGCCTCTTCCATCTTGGCTTTCCAGAACCGGGCCAAGTCCTGACTGAGCAAGAGTGCCCTAGACTGGTCCTTTCCCATGATTCCAGTTGCAGGCCAAGAGAGTCAACCAAAGAGAGCTAAAATTAACAATATTGTCACAGAAGCTTGTTCTCCTTCTGGAAGCTCAAGATGAAGCACAGAAAATAGAAGGGAAAGAGAGGGATAATTAGGAACGGAATTGCAAGGAGGCTGCCAAGACTGCTTTCTCCTTATGCAGAACTTTGCTGTGCCTGCACTTAAACTACCGGGTACGCTGCTCGTCACTGTACCTGAAAAAGCACATTATTGAGCTGGAAAAAGTGCCGCAAAGAGCAACTAAAATAACGAAGGTGTTACAACTGGGATTGCTTAGCTCAGAGAACAAAAGCGAGTTGGGGAAGACATGATAAAGGCGCTTAAAATTATGCCTACTGTGCAGAAAGTGGATTGGGAGCTATTTTCGCATCTCCCATGGAGCCTGTGGGTGGGAACTTCGGGGTGCAGAAGAGGAGCCCCCTCTTCCCACAGCCCAGAATGTAAAACTCTGGAATTCACGGCTGCAGGAAGTAGTGACGTCCACTCACCTGGAGGGCTTTAAAAGGAGGTTGGACAGATTCGTGGTGGAGGCGGATACCTGCCGTGGCTACTAGCCGCGCTGGCTATTGCCACCCCCTTTATCAGAGGCGACCGGCCTGCGTGCACCGGTTGCCGAAGAGCCTGGGCAGCCGTTCTGGCAGCCATCCTGCCTGAGGGAACCTTGGAGAGCCGGTTTGCCAGCACGTGGAGGGAAGGCCGGAGAGGTGCAACCCTTTGGTCCGAAGCAGCAGAGTTTCTTCCTTATGCTTAGAACAATCCCCCTTTTCTCCTGAAACCCCATGCAGTCAGTCCTATCTGGCATGCACAACGCACCCAGTTGCAGGAGTTGAGAAATGTGCTCCGTCAGTCTTTCCTCCCCTCGCTTCCGTCGCTGCTTCCGGCTGCTTTTAACGCACACCAAGAGGAGAGAAGCTGCCAATGGATTTCTTAACTCAACTTTGCTTTACCTTTTGCCAAGCAAAAGATGTTCTTAGAGGGAAAGCGTGGGCTGGAGAAGTTCTGGGCAGTCGCCAAGGGTATTGCATCAATGGAGCCGGTGTGGGTGAAATTTCGGCACTGTCGCCGCCCTCTGGAAGTGCTATATCTGGAACGCCTTGTCCACAATTAGCGGTAGCCGAAACAGTCCTGCTCTCTCCTGCTGTACGTATGTGCGAGCGAGCGAGCTCCCACCGCTTGGAAGCACCCGGCGCCAGCGAGTGGATGCACAAAACCCGGCAAGCCACAGAGGGTTGTGAGCCGTGCTTGCTGAAGGTGGGTTGCTACTTTATCCGAGCTCAGTTGAGCTGCGCAGGTCATGCTCCTGGGTTCAGGCATGCCGAGACAAACGGAACTTGCTTGTCGTGTGAACCCAGGCTGTGTGTGAGGGGCTTCGGGCTGGAGAGCTGGGGACTTCCCTCCCACCGGTGCGGGGAGAGCGCAGCCCCCGAAATGAGCTCTCCATGCCATGGACAGGAGCCAGGCCTGGTTTTGCTTTGGAGAAGACCCATGGCAATCGATGGGCCTGAAGTTAGTCATGGCTGGCTTGTCCCAGTGATTTTGCCGTGGCTCCAACTGTACTTATAAACAACCGGAAAGCAACAGCTGTGGGCTGGTGCAGCAATTAAATGAAATCCCCGGATGCTTTTGGGACAATCGGCGACCGACTCTTGGCCTGTTCTACCTTACAGGGTTGTTGTGAGGATAAAAGGATGAGGAAGGAGGATCTATAAGCCACTTTGGAAGAGGGGAAAAGTTGGGTTAGAAGTGTCATAAATTCAGATTTAGGTCAGCCTTCTGCTACCTGGCACCTATCAGGGCTGCTGGACTACAGTTCTCATCATCCCCAGCCAAGATGCTGGGAGGTGTATTTCCACACATTTGTCCTGCACTGGGAGAAGGCCCTTCTGTCTTTGTTCTGTTTCCAAAACTGGCAGAATTCAGACCGGTGCAGCACTGGGCCTTTCTACCCGCAGTCTGCTGTATCCCTCCGTTCTTAGCCTCCAGCCCCATTCTCTGCCTCTCCGGCATCAGGTGCTCCGAGGCAGAGATTCAATCCTGTGCAGTTTCTGCTTTTGTGCAGTGGCCGATTCTGAGTGCGCACGACATGCCAAGGGCCCCTTTGCTTGCCTGGGCACGCTCGCGGTATCACTAACAAAACGGGAGGCGGCGAGAAAACCGCTTGCGGCCGGAGGAAAGATACTTTGGATCCTTTGGAGGCAGAGGAATATTGGGAAGAACTGAAAAGCACTGGCTATGTTTAGCCTCGAGAACAGAAGGTTAAGGAACGGGGAGGGAGCGTGTGGCAGGGGGAAGCGATGGATTTGCTGAAAGACTTCAAACACTTTAATTTTATACCTTACAAGTGCGGCTCTGCGCACGGTAATGGCTGTGGGGGCGGCTGGCTGTGCGTAATACTGTCCATTCTGTCTCTTCTCTCGCAGACATCCATAAACAGTTCTCGGTGTGCTTATGCACCACTCTCTCCGGCAGCAGATTCTCACAGGCCGGCGAACAGCTGCCCCCCATCTGGCCAAAGACCAGCCCGGGACTTTAAAACGCTGCAGCACCCACACTCTGGAAGCACTAAGTGCATGCAAGATTTGGGTCCTGGGGTCCCAGGACCAAGCCTCCCTAGAGTGCTGTATACGCCACATGCAGACATAATGATTAGGAATTATTTACGTTTCCCAGGAGGACAGAGCCGGCCAATTCAGTCCCAGTACATGCTGCAATTCATTTGCATCTGTCCCCAGCTTCCTAAGCCAATGGATGCTGTTTTTCTAAATTGCCAAGCAAGGAGAGATTTTTTTTGGCGGGGGGGAATCTTCCCAGAGGTGGAGAGAGGGAAGTGAATGCTTCCTGCACCAGCTGATGTTTGAATCCTGTTTGAAAATGGTGCCCCATGTAGAGATTCAGCTAAGGGAGGAGAAAAACTTCCGAGGTATCAAAGAACACGCAGGGATCGGTGGAACAGATCCAGGGGCCCTGGAAAATGGGCAATGCCCTTGAGTTAGACTCAAGGAAGCTCAGGGGTTTTGTTGCGGACCAGAATGATTGCAGGAAGGAATATTTCTAGCTGTTCCCGGAGTTGTTGCAGTGCAAACCTGGAACTTCTGAGCTGGAGCTGTGGATCTTCCCCTCAGTAATAATCCTGCGTGTTTATTAACCATATCATTCTTTGCCCTTGCTCCCAGAATGTGTATTGCAATCCAAGCCCAACCACCAGAAATCCCCTTCGGACTGTTCTAGTCAAACGCAGGCTAACGTGCCTGCTCTCTCTGCCGGAGAAACGTGACATGCCTTCCAGTCATCGTTGACTTCGTGGTGACTTGGTGCCCTCCAAACTCTCCTCTCCTTCACAGCCCTGCTCGGCTCTCGCAGGCACCAAGGCTTCCTCGGTGGCAACGAGCCATCTCAGTCGGTCTTCCGCTGCTTCTAAGCTTTCTGCCAAGATGGTCTTCTCCAGAGACACTTCTCATGATGTGGGCAAAGTACGACGACCTTCGTTG